TCTTGACTCCCAAGAGCCTGCCCCACACACGGTTTGTATCAAAAGAATTCTTAGGAGATGTAGTTCTGGAGGCCTGCCTACATCATTAGGAACTAATGGAAACTTAACTCCCAACAGCTATCCCTGGAAGAATTTTACAAGCCTGGTGATGGTGTTTTAAAACATATTTTTGCTATTGGTAGGGGGGGTTAAATTTGGGTAATGCCTAGATATACATTTTAGGGTCCCATATGGTTACCAGTGTTTGGGTCCTGACCAGTTTAGAGTGATGTTTTGAATGATGTTTTGAATAACAATCCAATTGGGTATTTGTGACAAATGCAGATAGGACAATGCTGGCAGAAAAGGCAAGTACATGTCAAAAAACATCTGTCTGTATACCGAGGCTGAATCACTGATATACAGCAACAATGTACACATCTTTTAGAAGAGCATAGTGCTACAGAAAGCAGAAGCTGCCTAATATTGATTTCCAGGGTATTATTAAGCTTACTGACTTCAGGAAGTGTCATTATTATGGGAGTTGAGGAAAAATGTACATTTGTGTTTTAATAGAGATAATTGGTTAATGGTTTCCAGGATTTTCATTGCGTCTTCCTCTATAGATCAATATAAGGCCAAATAATAAATGGAATTGTGTGCTGATTCAATTATAATGGAGAAAAGATTAGATAAGATTAACCCTTTACTTGATCTTGCTTCAGGACTACAGAAAGTAGCATATAAGTCCTGTGATAATGTCATGTTGATTTTACCTGCTTTGATTAGTGAACTGCTGACAAATGACAAAAATGACACATTAGGTACATAGCAAGCAAATATAAGCCACCCTCGCAATAGAGTTGACTACACTCAAGTAGTCTTTCTCCTCTAAGGACAGTAGCAAAAGAATCCCTCAGTAAAGCAGCCTATAGGTTTTGGGATTTTCTTTTCTTTCACAAGTGGAAGGAAAGAAAATCGCTCGCTTCCCCCATCAACACAGCCAGTGTTGATGAGAGGAATCCCTCCTGCAGCGCTTTTGCATTCTGCCAGCAGGGAGACTTCCCAACTGGCAGAACACAAAAATTATAGCAACTATAACCACTAGCAGCACTAGCTCCCATGTAAAAAAAAAATCAGACAGACTGGTTGTACCCAAGATGATCAATGATCCCTGCTGAACCTGCCAAGATTCGGTCCATATATGGCTGGCTTAACAGACTGACTCTACCAATTCTGATTCTCCACTAAGCTTTGGTTGCACATAAAAGATCCTGAACGTGTTCACCATATTTGGGTAATGTGAAAAAATTGATCAAGAGGAGACACTAAGAAAAACAAATAAAACATACTGACGGACAATTTTGACAAAGCAAAGACATTTCAGCTAATTTTGAACTTTAGAATTCTAGCACTCACAAAGTAAAAAATAGTGGAGAATGTGGACTATGCACCAGTGTTTGCTTGTATTTTTTTCATGTTGGAACATGCATAGGTACCCTACCAAATATTTTACTATATATTTCTTTTACTTTTCATTTCTTCTATATGTATTATGACTCTCCTCTGAATTTTAGTACATTCTTAATGCTTTTAAAATTATGCTGCAAAAAAATCACAACCAGACCAGAGAATTTTAAGAGCCTCGTAGCCAGATATGCATACATGCAGCCATGTCCTTTGCATAGCAGAGATCAGGAGATTTGACCTCCAAATCTATTTTTCTATGTATTAAGTATGTGGGTCTGTGCTATTTTATTGCTGTAGGTCTATAGAGGACACCTAAAGAGACAGGACTGGTTTGTGGAAAGGCAAACACAATGAAACTATTAGCTTCCATTCTCTTAACCTGTAGTGTTCAAATGACACACAGTCTATGGATATTGTACTGACAGCCCCATGAAGTATATCGCTAGCCTTGATTGTTTTTACCATTACTTTACAGCAGTGATCTTCGTGAATAACTTAGGCAAGCAGTTGGCAAGAGGTGTGGCAGAAAGCAAAGCTATTAGAAGCTAAACAGGCACAGAATCTTTTAGCCAGAATTAACTGGGCCTAATTTAAGCAATAACAACGTATTGGTCATATATCCTTTTGGTATCCCCCCTTCTTATTCACATACAATTTGAATTAAGTGCATGACCATTAATATGTATAAGAGTCATGATCAACAAACAGCAGATATTGGAGTATTAAATAAAAGATCCTGTGCCTGAAAGTATAATCAGATACAATAGAATCTAATGTCACTTTAAACATGTGACTACACATTTATTTTACCCAAATACCCATTAGCTCTAATTAGTATGTTTTCTTTGCAGGTTGTGACACCTCTGATTACAATGTCATTTTGCATTTTTCAGTGGACATATTGTCAACTGGAGCAAGTATTTACAAAAAAAAAAAAAATCAGAATGACTGTACACAACAGCATTATGAAATAGGTTTATGGCTTCCAATAAAAGATATCACCACCTGCAAGAGGTTAGGCAATTGGCTGGCACCAGAGACACCAAGATGGCATCACCGCTGCTTGTGACTAGAACTACAGCAAGCAATCATTTCTTCACCACTGCTTCCTGAGCTGATCCACTTCCAGCTGAAGGCTCTCAATCTTGTCGCCAAATTCTTGTTTGAAGAGACGGTTGGCTTCTTCAGCTGACTGTCTGTCTCGTTCTGTCACTCGGAGTCTGGATTTGAGCCACATGAATGGGATTGAAAAATAAAAGCAATGGGGGGGTGGTGGGGACAGGGACAAGGCTACTTTAATAACTAAAATAATTGAAAAAACTCAAATCGAAATATTGTTAAAAAGCATAAAGAATAAGAATGGATAGGAGAAATAAATTAAATGAATAAGTGCTAGAAAATGAAATGAAGTTCTTAATTGGTGAATCAGGCAAAAAATGACCTATGGGTATGTATTAACTACCACAGTAGTTTTCAGATAAGGAACTGGGTTTGTGTTGCTTGTATTACTTATTGCATATTAAATTATTTATTTAGGTGCTTAGTACAAAACTATCCTTTATCTGATTTGTTTTAAATTATAGTGGAAGTGCGAGTATCTGGTCTCTTGCTACTGACCCATCACACAATCTCAAGAGCCACTGCCAGATTTCAGGTATTTTAAGCTCTAACAGAAACACATTTAATTTGATACAATGAATGCAAAGGGTATTACTTGCACAATAAAACACAAGTCAAGAAACCTGCTAGCAAAAATGGTAGAATGCAGACACTTCTAGACCTATCCCTATGCAAGGTGACAAACGTTTTTACAACTCATGATGGCTTGCAATACCATTTTGCCCCTGTTCATTTCTGCGCTCATCCGATATACACATTCAATAAAGATTTCACCATTCCAATGCCTATTTCTACAGTCAAATTATCTCCAGATAGACATGCAACTAATCCCTTTTAAACAGTCTATTTGGTACATCTGTTAAATACTTTTCTTCCATTTATGGTCAGCTGTGATAGCAATCTTAAAATAGTTAATACCTGTGCAATGGAAACATACAGTATGCTCATGGATGCCTCTCAGATATACAATTAAGTCCATATATATTTGGACACAGACACAATTTTAGTATTTTTCAGGTATTTATCAAAACATATTCAAGCTATAGTTATATCATGGATATAGGCTGAAAGTGCACACTCTCAGGTTTAATTTGAGGATATGTACATCCAAATTGGAGGAAGGGTTTAGGAATTACAGCTCTTATGAGCAGCCACCCCCCCCCCCCCCTTTTCAAGTGACCAAAAGTAATTGGACAATTGAATCAAAAGCTGTTTCATGGCCAGGTGTGGGCTACTCCTTTGTTATTTCTTCATCAATTAAGCAGGTAAAAGGTCTGGAGTTGATTCTAAGTGTGGTACTTGCATTTGGAATCTATTGCTGTGGAAGGAGGAGTGACATGTTGGTGGTGTCAGTGGAAGGAGCAGTGACCCATTGTTGGTGTCAGTGGAAGGAATGGTGATTCAAATCAGTGGAAGGAACAGTGCATCAAGGGCCAGATTGAGGCAAGCAAAGAGCCACATCTGGCCCGTGTGCCACAGTTTGAAGACCACTGATATAGGTGTAGGCCATTTACAAGTATGCAGATGTACTGATTTTTCTCCAACTTTCTTTCCAACCCACTACAATGTGTACCTGTCTCAATTAAGAGCACTAAGTGTCACTTCTGTCTGCTGCTTCGTTCCTCTGCTATCAGCATGAATCACTTCTGACAAGTTTTACTGACACCAAGAGAAAATGGTGACCCGGGGGGGGGGGGGTGGGTGGGGGCTAAGAATCTCCAGATGATTGACAGCCTCAGCTCTGTTCCTGTGTGCTGTGTGAAATGGGGTGTGTCCCTTCCCTCCAATCAGCTCTCAGAGCTCTCCTCACTGATGTAACTTCAGCTCTCCGCTCCCTGCTTTTCAGAGCTGAGTAATCCTGTGCAAATTTTGCAATTTGAATGGATTTAGGGGAAAGACGACCAGAGATAAACAGGTACAACTTATGTATGAGGATTTATTTAATCTCTGTGTATCACCTGAGGCCAGTCACTTCACTGGGTATATGTGAGGGTTAAAATACCAGCCAAATGACCAGACTTTTCTAAAGTGCAATAGCGAGCATGTATTTCTAATATATCATGTTTAAGAAGACTTTTACACACTTCAGCTTCTTAAAAAATAACGTTGACTTGCCCTCTTTAATCTATTTTTCCATCCCTTGATTTTAGTTACTGAAAAATAATACAAACTTTTGACAAAGAAATGGTTTTAAAAAGTTTATTTGGCAAATAGTTCAGGGTTCTAACAAAGATTCCATCTATAGTGAGAGGGTGGGAGAAAAAAAGGATAACAGAACAGAGGAGCCATGGCTTCAAAATGCAGCAGTTTCCAAATAAACGGTAGGCAACATTTAACATCTATGTAGTAGCTAGTAACTGAGCAGGTTTCCTCCCTTCCTCCTGCTACCAAGTTGCTCTGTTAGTGTTGGTCAGTGGCTGCGTATTAGACACCTATTGCTGCTTGTGTAGTAGCTTACTCGCTGTGCTACTCAAGGTTTTTGCCTGCTTCACCAAATTCTTTTCACTATTTTGTCAGTTTTAAAAAGGTAAGCAAGGTTTAAAATGAACAAAAATAAAGTCAGGTGACAGGCAAGGGTGAATGATTAACAAAGCAGACAGAGAACATCAAGAAAGAATGATCAGTTGAACATTTAACACAACTTAATACAATAAAAAACTGCAAATAGCAAACATACAGTATGTGCCTTATTCAGCAATTCAGTATTACAGTTGAATAGTAATGATGATGTGTGAAGAGATGCAACCCATAGCAAACAATCAGATATATGATTTTCTGATGTCAGATGAGTGAAATTAATTCTGATTGATTGCTGTGGATTACTGCACTGAGCTGCCTAATTTACTGAATATTACTGTCAGAATTAAGAACGGTTAAAAAAAATGTCACAAAATATCATGCACTCAACCAAAGTCAAAGCCTTTTAGGTTTCAACTAGAGCAGGGGAATGATTTGAACTTTATCATTATGTCTGTGGTCTTATTGGAGAAATGTATTTTAAATTCCTGTTTCTTTGACAGGTGTCATAAAAAACAGTATGTAAGAGAATATCCCCCCCCCTTCCCAGATGGAAATAAAAATTATTTTATAGTGCAGTATAGAAGGATCAGAAGAGGAAGAGAGATATCAACTGTATAGACCAGGAGTCTCCATACTTTCTAAACAAAGGGCCAGTTTACTGTCCTTCAGACTTTAGGAGGGGGTGGGACTGTGGCCAGTGGGAGTAGAAAATGCCCCATCATTGATTTTAGTGGAAGAAACAGTGGCCTGTTTTTGGCATCAGTAGTAATAATAGCACCCCATTGTTGATAACAGTGGGAGAAATAGCATCCCATCATTGGTGTCAGTGGGAGGAATAGCAACCCATCATTGGTGTCAGTGGGAGGAATGGTGCCCCATCATTAGAGGCAGTTGTGGATGGAACAGTGCTCCAAGGGCCAGATAGAGGCAAGCAAAGGGCCACATCCGGCCCCCGGACCGCAGTTTGGAGACCACTGGTATAGACCATTAAGTGTTACTAAACCCACATCAATAAAATCAGTCTGTATATGTAGAAAAGCATGCTTGTTATAGTCACTGTGGAACCTAGGGGGTTAATCCTCTACACTGTGCAAAAACGCAGTTTGATACTGACTTCTCTGATCCTCCCCTTCTTACAGTATCCCTCTCTTATCTCCTGATAAGACATAGCATGTGGAGTCACTCTGTACATGTTCAGTTTGGTGTGTATTGCTAGGGAGGGTTTTTTTTTTTTGGGAGAGTGCATGTGATCAGCATAGAGCCAATCCACACTATCCACACAGAGGTCAGGGGTTCTGCATCCTCCTGAAGCAGAATAAAAACTCCTCCTACAAGCTTTAACCAGTGCTCGGCTGGACACTGATAGAAGTCACAAGACTGCTCTAGCTTCTGATGAGAAAAGGTATTTAGCAGTTTATATTTACTAAAATAATTGCATTTCCATGAAAAATATGTGTTAGATTACTTCTGAGCCACTGGAGTAATTTACCAAATATTATCAAAAAAAGCTTGCAGGCTCCTAATCACATTCTCATTTATGTGAACGTAAAATATAGTTTAGTAAGTGGTGCCGCGCTTTTAAAAGAAATATCTAACTATCTAAAACAATTTCAAAACTATTTTACATATTTGTGCAACTTATGCGTGTAGAGACTGTTCCCAAACCATTTTAAAAAATACATAAACCATATACAGTATATTAAATGAGATAAAAAACAAAATAACCAAAAAACAATATTAATAAAAAATGCAAAATAGATTGAAAAGTGTCCAGAAATTAAATAAAAATAAAAAATACGAATAGAAATAAAAATTAAATGTGAAAAACAATTGTATAATGTCCAAATGAGTGTCCAAAGAATCTTTGCTTGGGTATTGTCACTAATATGCGCTCACCTCGTTTGCCTATTACTAGGCTAACACAGCTGTTTGGATATTAGGTATGGATGGGATCCTTTATGAACTCCCCTGGGTTTAGCTGGATGGATAATTTTAATTTCTGGACACTTTTCAATCTATTTTGCATATTTTATTAATATTGTTTTTTGGTTATTTTGTTTTTTTATCTCATTTAATATATATGGTTTATGTATTTTTTTTTAAAATGGTTTGGGAACAGTCTCTACACGCATAAGTTGCACAAATATGTAAAATAATTTTGAAATTGTTTTAGATAGTTAGATATTTCTTTTAAAAGCGCGGCACCACTTACTAAACTATAAATTGCATTTCCATGTTCTGTGTACTGTGGGAGACCAGATATAGTGAATGCAGGGTCCTGGGTTTAGTAACACTTTAAAAGTAAAAACCCTGTCTAGAGCAGGCCATAGATTATACAATTTAATTTTAATTTTCTGTCCTTCCACCTTGGGTGTTCCCCAAGCAACTTAGTCAGTGCTAATGGGGTAATCCCTCCTGCAGCGCTATTCTATTCTGCTTGCAGAACACAGTGATGACTGTTGAGGCTATAGCCGGCAGCACTAATTATTCGGGAAAAAATCCGACAGGCAAAAGTAACAACCACATCTAAGGGTCTTTTTTTGGGGTTTAGATAAATTTCCACTGTGGAAAAACAAGATCATCAGACCTATGAAGTTTAATAAAATGCACATAGTTGTGTATTTAAGTTATGTGTCATTCAATAGATGATGGTATGTGTGTGTTTACCTCTGCTCCAGCTGTTTAATGGTGGCAGCCATCTGATTGGTTTTTTCTTCTAAGCGGCTGTTTAACTCGGTCTTCTGTTTCACTGCCAGATCAGAACTCTGTCAAAGAAGTGACACAGCCACCATAAAAAGTAAGTCTCTTCAGAAGAGGAAAAAATACAAAAACAACCTGAGTAAACTTACACTAGCATTTTATTTGTTGGATATGACCACTTTGCGGAGCAACTACGGAAGTCTCTCACTATACAGACTAATAGTACCCTGAACCTGACCCTGCATATATTAAATAGGCCGGATGACTTGAACTGTGTTCAAAAGCACCAGATGTTTGAAACTTTTGGGACAGAAGCTTATGATTTAATCCTTAAAAACTGGATGGTGTGTACATTTCTGGAATGTTTAATATTGTGAGTTACAATGGGAAAGAAAAGTACTGCATACATGTGCAGATATAGTAAAGTGTAGAAGAGCTTTCCACCATCCCACTCAATAATATATGTGAACAGATAATAGTATGTGAGGTATCTCTCCATACCTATGCTGGTTATCCACAAACTAGTAATGAAAAAATACAAGTAGCTGAAACTTCCTCATGTTAAAGCTGGGTATACTGTACATGCTTAGTTGGCTGAACGAAAAAAAACTAACAAACAGATTCCTCCTTTCACACAAGCGAGGTGGGCGAAGGAATCCTCCACGCTGCGATCTTGGATCTTGTATTCTGACAGCATGGACTCCTCTGCTGTCAGAATCCATTTTTCAGCGCTGCAGCCCCTGATTGAATAAAACAGTCCTGTTTGACAAACATCAATCTACCATCAACTTCTGTCGAACAGGGAGAGGGCCACACTCAGATCAAAACTCAGCTGGTCCCTGCTTAATTTTGAGCTGTGGTTACCCACCATTAGTCAGATATGTCTGCAAAAGGAGAGCTCAGCAATGATAGTAATAAGCAGCTAGGAAGGAATGGTGTTGGGACACAAAGGTTCCTTATATATGCTATTCAACCTTTTGGTTATCTATAGTGTTTACAGTTTGGAAAACTACAAAGTGCAGAGCTGGGGTTAGCGGTGGGAAGTTAACTATAGCTAGTTTCAGTATGTCTTTGAATGCACTTAATATTGGTGATTTGTTGAATCACCTGGCATCCTGACCTGCAGTTTAAAGGAGAGTTCATGCTTTAAGGCCCTGAGGTCGTCAAGTTGTTGTCTGAGAGCTGCTAGTGCATCTTGCTTCTCACAAACATCCTTATCCAGCATCTTCATGGCCATCTCCATCTCTTGTCTCATTCCTATCTGCACTTCTAGTTCTTTTTCTATATCCTGTAAAAATATATTTAAAAAAACAGAATTAAAATCAGCACAAGTTTATTCTACTTAACTGCTTTGCCTAATGTAGATGTGTACATCATCCAGTTAACATTATATTCCATGAAACTCCTCAGCTGTGCGTTATTTCATCTGCCCCTCTTATTTTCTTCTGAACAAGAAGGAAGAAAATAGAATTTGTTCAAAGATTTATATTTTGTAAAGTAAAAGTGTCATAAAACCATCAGTACAGGATGGCTGTCTGGGTGGGGACAGATGGAAAGGTATTACTTTGATCTCTTTATCAGTGTCCATATTTGAGTAATAGCCATGAGGACAGGGGTTCAATCTCTACAGTAAGATCAAGAACCTCTATCCAAACCTTAATTGCTTCTTTGATTTTTACAACAATTGAATATGAACTCATGTATTTCTAAATTTTGAAGCCACGAATGCATGCCAATGGATTATTTGCATTAACCTCCTCTAACAATTTAAGGTATTCTTACTTCATTTGCTTGATTTAGTAGATGGCATTATCAAAAAGCTGCTTTATTTCCTATGCCAAAAAAAAAAAGAAATTGGCCCAGATCAATACTAAATGACTCATGTACGAAGGCCGAATGGTTAAAAAAATAACCCTTTCTAAACAATCTATTGTGTACCTGGTGAAAGGTTGTGATACTGAAGCATACTGTATATTAGTTTCAGTGCATTATATGACGTTATCTGGGATGTCCAACTGTTGTTTATGATTTTGCTGTATTACCATGCCCATCTCTGACAATCCTACTCTGTCCTTCTTTTACATCTCTACAGCTCCATTGTGTCATACTCTCACTAGAAGGTTTCCCAACAAGATTTTTTTTTTTGTTAGTTTTGACTACTATTGTATGCAGTTTCGTGCGACTGAACGTCATCAGGGGTACGCCTTTAGGGGGTGTCGCACAAAACGCGTTGGGTGGAGCCACATTGCTGACATCACGCCGTCGTCTCCTGGGCAAGGAGCGGAGGCCATTTTGAAACATTTGGCTCCTGTGGTTGAGCAGTCTTTCCCAGATTTAGAGGCTTGCACCACCGGTACTGTAAGGATGCTGGATTAACCCTTAAGTTGTCCTACTGCCCCTGCACCCAGATGTGACAGATTGTAACCAGTGCCTGTATACATCAAAGTTCTGGTGAGTGCACACCCATCAGAAGTGGTGGATTACCTTTAAAGACACATGCACAATTGCACGTTGGTCACAGGTTTATATCGTAAATTGAAGAAAGACTCCTGTTGAATTATCCGTTTTATTTATTTTATTGAAATCATAATGAATAATATGGACATTTGTTGATTGAATGCACCTATTGCACTTTATTTATACATTGTGCACTTATTACTTTATAAACTTGAATATATTGCCATATTTACATTCATGATAGCGCTCCGTAATGGTAACTGATGCATCCCACACAATAGCTTGGTAAGGAGCAGGCAAGTTGAGATCTGCACATAACTTTAGTTTCCTAAAGTAATTTCACTGAAGGTGACCTCTGCTTGTGCATGTCTTCTTTATACAGACTGTGCATCAGTCCTTGTTCAAAAGCAAATTTGAAGTTGCATAGACTTCTACAGTTTTATGTTTTCATTGTTAATAAAAGACATGAAGATATGAAGAGATTGAGAAAGACTCTTCTTATTACACAGTCAGAAGAACCTAAATAAGTTCCGAATCATGCAGCCCACTCTATTTCCTTTCATAGAGTTGTATTATGGCACTAAAATTGGGTTTCTTGCAAGTATACAGTCTGGCTGTACTGTATCTGTGTGGACGATAAAGTGATTTCTTTTGGAAATGGTAGCTTATCTAATAGTTGTAAAAAATTCAACATACCAATCTTAACTGAGTTTCTTCTTTTAAGTGTTTCCTGACTTCGCTTAGCATCTGCCCATCTGCAGTCCTGTCTTGTTTATTACCCTGAAATAAATTGAGTAAAATTATAGAAGGCATTTCGTATGGCCAACCAGTGTAAAATTACTAGTTATAAGCTTTGTTAATTATTTTTAAATTTGACAAATAGTCTATGAGAGCAAAAATAGTCTATGGATATAAAGCATATATTGGGAAAAGGTGGATAGATCAGAAATGTTCAAAAAGTCAGCGCCATAGCAGGATCTTCCAAACGAAAAAACTGATTTATTGATACATCGGGTTAAAATCCACGCACACCCGATGTATCAATAAAGCGGTTTTATGTTGGGAAGATCCTGCCATGGTGCCAACTTTACTGTCTTAAATTAGAGTACAGGGGTCTGAGCACCTCATCTATCCAATTGGGAATTAGGGTTGAGTGAAGTGTGCTATTTTGTTTCGCGGAGTATGAGAAGGTTGCTTATTGCGATGTCTTACTTGGCCATCATGCTATTAAGTAAATACAGAAAGTAAAACTATCAGCAGAAAAGAAGTGGCAGCCTAGTGCCTCTGTGGAAAGCTGCCTACCTTGGAGAAGTATGTAGTGTCCTCTTTCATTCTCTCCATCTCCTCCTGCATGGTAATGATTCTGTTGTTTGCCACTGCAAGCTGAAAATAAGACACAAATAGGATTGGGATCTACACAGATTACTTATTTATAAACATATTTAGTATAGAATATACATTTTGTATAAATCATAAAAGCCAACTCTCCTGAGTGTGGGCTAGTAAAGGAGGGTGAGGTAATTGTAACTAACCTGCAAGTTTAAGGGCTGGTTCACACTACATGCGTTCCGGTGCGTTTTATTTCAGCATCCAAAACACATAGAGTAGGTTACTTGGTTGACAATAACATAGCTCACACCAGTGCTTGCAGTTCCAGTGCTTTCCGGTTCCAGAAAAAAAAAAAAAAAAGTAGAACGTGCTGCATTTTTCCTGAACAGAACTTCTGGAACGCGGTGAAACACATTAAAAATGCACATGAATGTACTGGAAAGCATCAAAAATGCATTAAAAAAATGTGCTGGGCCCCAAATGACCCACAAATGGAGGAAAAAAAGCATCTGGAATGCATCAAAAACGCACTGGAAATCATCAAAAACACGCATGCAGAAAAGCATCCAGGCTGCATTTCTATGGTATGAACTGGCTCTAAAGGAAGTGGGTACTAAGAAATACATAGGATTCCACTGCTGACCCTACTTTTAAAACTGCTGCTTGCCTGCCTGTCTGTTTCAGCACTTAAAACCTCAACAGATCAAGCATGCAGCAAATCAAGTCAGAGCTGTTAGAACATGTTATCCATATACTTGTTTTGTGAAGTGAAGCAGAAAGCACTAACACCAGTGGATCAGCATGACAGCCAAAATTTGGGAGCTATAGGAGGAGCAGATTGTATGGGGCAGATTGATGATTGGCAACCACTCTACTCCGCGTTCCTTCAGTTTTTATAGATAAAGCACAAAATTCTTAGAGTTAAAAAAAATAAATCGATGCTGCAAAGTGTAAAGCAATAAGGAACTGTTAAAGAAAAAAAACACAGTGACCAAACAACTAAAAAATACATGCTTTACATACCTCTTCTGTTAGCTTTGTGTTGGATTTTTCTAGTGCATCCACCTTTGCCTGAAGGTTGTTAACAGTGGCACTGTTATGAACACAAAAAAGAACAATGACTACAGAACTATTCAAATTTCCATTTGGATTAGCTGTCCATGACTGAAGCACCCTATGGCCCCTTTCACATGGGCATTCCATTTTTTTTCATCAGTTTACGTCCGTTTTTTCGTCCGTTTTTTTTTTTTCCGTTCCCATCTGTTTTTCGTCCATTTTTTTTTTTAAAAGGAAGAAAAATAGGGTTTTCTGCCGTTCAAAAAAAAACGGATGTGGATATTAACAGTTATAAACAGATGATCACCCGTTTACATCCGCTAGTCCACAGAAATACATGGGTGTCTGTTTTTTATCTGTAAACGGACAGATGAAAACTGGACATATGGAACGCCAGTGTGAAAGGGGCCCATCTTAAGTGTTTGCAGTGCTGAAGAAAAGCCAATTTCCTATTTCTGGAGTACTAGAAAGCCACTGAACTGCACCTTTTAAATGCATTTCCATACAGAGGTTGAATTGCAATAAAACACACCGTGTTTTGTGCACTGTAGTAGACTTTGAGTTGTTTTCTATGTGCTAGCTGGTCTATGGCGTTTCCATGCAAGGAGAGCCTTATTTTGTCCGCAACACTGGCCAAATGTACCCAAGTCATTACTGGACTACCCATTGTGCTAGATGGATCACACATTCAAAAACACTAATTTAGTGCCAGTTCACATATATGCGGATTGGATGCGGTTTGAACCGCATTCAATCCGCATGACATGTGAAATAACATTGCGTCCTATACTGCCTGTTCACATATGTCTGATGCACTGTCAGTGCAGATTCAGTGCCAATTGAAAAAGAGTCCTGTACGATTTCTGAGCAGTGCGGTCCAAGTTCAAGTGCGGATTACAGGCGATTGACTTCTATGGGAACCGTTTCTAAAGCGCACATATGTGAACAGGATATAACCCTGACCTGATCTTATCCTCTGCCTGATGTAAACCTGACATGAACCACTGAACAACTACCATGTCAATTAGCTGTGAAACCTGAGCTTCAATCCACACTGCACATTTGTGAATCATATCTAATTCATCAGTTGTGGCCTAGAAATGTTGTGTCATGACAAACATACACACAAATGCTAGTCGTACTCCTCACCAAGGGTGAGCTCAGGCGTGTTCAAGTCCTAGTCTGAACCTATCTGAGATATCCCTCCAGGAAAATGTTACTGCACACCGGAAATCATAAGCAGCTGAAGCATTTCAAGCACAGCAGCCGCATGTATACCTTGTATATTTGCAGGGAGGGGAATGCTTCTGCTGCTTATGATTAGTGGTGCTCAGTAATGGCTTTTCTTGTCTTGACAACATTAGTTAAGGGTCATGCAGTTCTGTAGGAGCTATACAAACTTTAACATCAGGATTGGTATCTTATGTCAGCTTTAAAAATATAAAGGGAAATATCAGGCAATCTGAACTTTGATCCTTCCTTTCAGGAGGGGTCATATTATCAAGAGCCTGTTGAGAAGGGATATTTTAATGCTCACCAGGTGGCATATCTTATGTAAATTAAAAAAAAAAATAATAATTTGAGATTCCTGTGTTTCAGGATGATTATGCAAAAAATACATAATCACATGCTTATACTTTACCTTAATTGTCTATTTAGTTCTTCTACATAATTCTTCTGGTCAAGAATAGCTGTTATTTGTCCATCTCTATGCAGAGAAGAAAACATAAGCAGTGTATGATCACCATTTTATGTATATATTTCTAATTTGTATTATCACTGTTACCAGTACAAAACCATTGGTATTGAGTAAAGATATCCATAAACTCTAGGTACTGCTTTTGGTAGTGTTTAGTCCCTTTACATTTTATATTACAGCTGTGAGTACATTAAATAGATAGAGAATTCCAAAAATGATGTTTCTAAACAATACGAGGATCTACATGTTTACACTTTGGACCTCTAGAGCTTAATTTCTACAACAATATCAGACGAGTTATAACAAAACCATAATAAATGTATATAAAATATTTCTGGCTATTTGTCTTGCCAAACTAAAATAACAAATATATTTAGAGCTAAACTTTTATCTACCCTTCCTCTCCCTTTGACCATCCACAGAATGCCTTGTATTCTGTAAACCATTCACAAAATACATGGTGTTCTATGAATAGACAAGGGGAGAAGAGGGATGGATAAGCAAATGTGTGCACTGTATTTAGGAGAGCCACAGCTGTCACAAGGCTAGAAATATAGTACTAGCTGTACTTTCTGGCTATGCATACAATGGATCTTAAGAGAAAACTAAGAGCATCTGCAACAACCAGAAGAACCTATGACCAAATCTGAATCAAAAGAGCTGAAGGTTATTACAGGACAGGGGGAATTGCTAAGGAAGTTCATGGAAAATCAACCTGGTGTTCAGGAAAAGTCCACACCAGCCATAGATGTGAGCCAAAGCAACCACCAAGAAGTAGAGCAAATAACTATGGGAATGGTGGCATACAGCAACCAGGGAAACTTGAACAGATCCATAAGGTAGGACAAGCTGGTCTAAGGATAACCAAAAGCTCAAGCCTTGAACTTCTGATCCTATGCTTCTGGGAAGAAGGGCTCCACGAAGCAGTAGGGATGTCAGTGAAAGTCATCCAACCTTGTATGAGATAATCAAAATAGAGAACTATCTATATAACCCAAGGGGGTGGTCAAGGATCTTAGTAGTTGGAGAAACCCCAAGAGAACAGCCCTAAGCCAGAAATACTGACCAACAAAATTGTGCAAGTACCCTCACAAAAATAGACAGGGGTGGGAAGATGACTGCTACTGTTGCAACACCAATAGAAAAGAGTAGCACATGTAGTCAACAAACACTCCCGGTGGTGTCATAATAACTGACCTGACAGGGAAAAACCTGATCTGGGACATAGGACTACAAGTCCTCTGTCCATTGGAAAATGGTCCCCACCAATTCTGTAACTCAGAAAGTCCCTCTAAGGACAAGTAATACTGAGGATCAACATTACCCTGAGGATACAGAATTTCCCTGAGGAGAAGGAATGTGGTTTGTAGGGAATAACTTTTCATTGTTGGTTAGGACAGGAACAGGGATTCCCAGAGTGCAGAGAACCCATGGAAGCCTGGGTAAAGGCATCACTATGTGTAGCAGCACAGGAAGAATCACTATGTGTAGCTTCAGGGCAGCTAACAGATGCCATCTCCAAGTAATTAGCCTGCATGCTAAAGATGTAACATGAGCATCCAAAGCAGCCAAGCCAAAACCAAGGAAGCCCGATACCCCAGGACCCATCCAGTTTGGCATACAGCCCCTCACTTGTACAAACGGGGTGCACCTTCATGCCTACATTCACATTCACACCTTCATGCCTAAGATTTACCAAAGGCATTAGCTCAGTGAAAAGCCCAGTGCCTGAAGGACACATTCAAGGCTAGAACAGCAAACCTTTCTAGTCTAGCGAGGTCCAGGCAAAGCTTCCAAAGCTAAAATAAGGAAATGCCAATTTGCTTCAGCCTAAAAGCCTTAAAGGATAAGTAAGTTCACCTTTTGACAAAAAATAATAAAATTCACAATTTTTTGCAGGTAAAAAAAAATGTACACTTATTTTTTTTTGCAAGAACCTGTAAAGCATTGCACCAGCGATGAGCAGATTGCTGGTGCCATGCAGGTCTCCTGCAGACCTGTCAGTATATCTGCTTTCCCATAATGGATGTACGGCAAGCTAATATACTGACAGGAAGAATCAATGAGCTACGATGGCAATCCACAGCGCCGTGGTAGTTCAGTGAGAATTCCAATCCAACAGCTGCAAAGGCTGTCGGGACTTGTAGTTCATTCGTAAATGAAGAACGCGGCCGTGCGGGCGGTTGTTCCCGTACTACTGTCGCAGGGAGAATCGGACAGTGACTGCAGCATTGGGAACATGTTCCATTCTAAAAACAGGGGTAACATGTTCCCAAAGCTGAACTTATCCTTTGAATACAAAATAAGTCTTTGAGACTTGGTTATAAGAGAGGTTTTGCCACATCTCTGGACCTAGAGAGTGCTCTGAGGCTACCTAACACAATACACAAAGGTCTGGAAAGTGCCAAAATGAAGAGCCCAGTGGCCAAATGTTACATTCCAAGCTAGTCCCACAATCTTTGGTCCAGCAGTGTTCGAATATGACCCCCAAAATTATTGCTGAGAATATGCGGATCAGGAGCTGCTGTTAAAGAGACCAAATCAAGCAGCGCCTTGCAGTTTTGACTGCAGCATTGAACATCAAATTCAGTGTACCAAGTATATTGACTGAAGAAAAAAATAAAGTGAAAATAAGCAGAATAAAAACAGCTAATAAAAAGTAGATTTAGAATTTTTCCCAGCAGAGCTGTGGAAAAAGCATCTAACTTCCTAGAACACCAGAAAAAAAAACTAGAAAAAACATTTATGGGCTGGCTTTCAAAATTTTTTCCTTATTACCAGCGCCCAAACCTAGCCTTAAAGCTAAATTAACCACTTCAAGTCTGGACACTTTTACCCCCTTCCTGTCCAGGCCAATTTTCAGCTTTCAGCGCTATCACACTTTGAATGACAGTTGCGCAGTCATGCAAGACTGTACCCATATGAATTTTTTAGCATTTTTTTGAGCCAGATAAAACTTTATTTTGGTGGTATTTATTCACCGCTGGGATTTTTTTTTTTTTTTTGCTATATAAATGAAAAAGTCCCAAAATTTTGAAAAAAAAAAGTGTTTTTCTTATAAAACTTTGCAAATAAATAATCTTTCTTCATAAAACTTGGCCACAATTTATTCATCTATCTTTTTAGTAAAAAAAAAAATAACTCAAATTAGTTTGTAACCAAAAATTATAATTTTTCTAAATTTGTTTTACATTTTTTTTTTCTATATTATTTGTTTTTTTTTGTACATACTGTCACCCTAGCAGTATAGTGTCACCATAGTGACACTGTACTACTTGTGGGGGGTGATGAAGATTTTTTTTTTTTTTTACACTGATTGCTTTTACACCCATAAAGGCTATAAAAGCAATCATTTCTCCTTCTCTCTGGCTGCATTCCTGCAGCCATTGAGAACTTCTGTGTGAGCTGTGATTGGTCACAGCTTGTCACATGGTACAAGGCTGTTGTGAATAGCCTTGTACCATGTGACCTCCTTGATCATTCAGAGATTTCACACGTAGTAAGCAATGATGTCAGAAGTGACATCTTGCTTAATACTCTTCATGTGACCACTGATTGGCCAATCAGTGATCACATGATCGGGACCTCACACAGAGGTCCTGTACAGTGATCGATGTTACACTGTGTCCAGAGGACACAGCAGGCAACGGATTGTGGTGCTGCACGCACAAGCAGGGGGGCAGGGAGGCCATTTATAAACGGCCACCCGCCCCTGTACTGCTCCTGTCCGGCCGTTTATATACATGGGCCGGACGGGAAGTGGTTAAAAAAACAAATTAGATACAGCTAAAAAACAGAATACATCCTCATACCTATGCTGTAAATGCTACAAAAATATTGTAGTAAAAAGTTTTGTACTAGCTAAGATCTGCCTAAAACTGAGGCAAACCCAACAACAAAGAGAAGTTATTTGTATTGCTCTCATTAAAGATAATGAAAGGGAGTTGTTGGCAGTTTTCTGTTGTCCCAGCATCACTGGAACCTGACGTTTTCTAACTGGTATTGCAGATTATTATAAGGCACGGTGTTTGAAGTTTTCTACATCTTGGTCAATGTTAGAGTCATGTGGATTCCAGAAGCAGTAAGTACTTTCACACGCTAATCATTAGCACATGGTTAAGGATCTTTATATAAGATTTATTTGATTTAACTGAAGTTAAAAGGTCCTCTTTTTTTTTTCAGAAGGATCCTTATCTTGGAGTGTTAGCTTTGTAAATCTAAAGTAGGTTGTTATTTCTCAGGTGTTGCATTGGAATGTTGTTAAGGAGACAAAGTAGATCTAAATATTGCTTACAGGATAATTAAAAAAAAAATTAAACTGAAAAAATGGCCCACAATAATAAAAACATTTTTCATCTGTCAGTGTTTAGAACACAATATATATTCAACAATTTCCAATGTCCTGCACATACAGAAACCTGAACCTGAAATTGTGAATACACCCATAATAAATAACACCAACAATGAATTTCCCACTGAAGGTCACCAAAGGAAAGCCAGCCTCTTAACTAGTTGCATGGGTAACAGCCCTGATCTTTATTAACTCCGGTATTTTTTCATAATCAGCGTCATTATTTTCAGCGCCTTGACAGGTCTTCTGCCTGTAAAATCTTCTATTTTCTTTTCTGCTGCTAAAATTAAAACTAAAAAAAAAGCAGCTGTAAAGATGGCATGTGGCCCGATGATTCAGTCTGGCTAGGCAGAGATTTGCTCCTGGCTGTGGATGGGCTGATATTTGTCTCTTGATGAATGTCAAGGAAAAGCATGTTGGTAATAAGCCACGCTGGGTAGTCACGTCATGCTTCATTTACCCATGAATTTCCACTCTGATCTGGACAAAGACCATGACATTTCTAGGTCTTGTAATTCTACAGTAAGGCAGTATCCTCTGTCATATATTATAAACTAGATAACATTATGAATACAGAGATTTAAGCTATGCTTGTGTTTCAACACTGTCAAAATTATAGCAAGGTTTTAAGGGAGTTAGGAAAAACTATTTTAACACAAATCAGTATGAGGTCAATATTTTTTTTTCCATAAAAGTAAACATCAGTCCCTTTAGATTTAAAACATTACAAATGTTCTTAATGGCCAAAAAAAATCCACAGCATTACTGTTCCCTCAGCAGATCTACAGACAAGCAATTTAGGGGGATTGCTGGGTGGTAGAATATACATTCTGATAGCTGGAAATTCACATAATACAGCGTGGCAGACAGTGTAGGATGGAGAATAAAAGAAGCATTAGGGCCAATTAACTGATTTGTTGTCTTGTTTTTTAAGTTTCACTTTATGGATCAATAAGGTTAAAAAGAAAAAATACACTATATGAATAATGTTTCTTTACACTTACCCTTCACTGCATTTTGCTATAGGACCTTCTTTTAGGTACATTGAAAAATCAATGACCCCAACCTGATTAACAAAAAAAGAAAAAAAATAGGGGAAATTAAGCTTGTAAATGGGTACAATCAAAACAGATTCTGACAGGATATACAGCCATATAATGAAATGCTCAACACAAGGATCACATGCACAGGGGTTGCAATTGTGACCCCGCCCCATGCACACAAAAATAGGAGGGGCATTATATAGAGGAACCTTTTAGCGGCTGCAGGAAGAAAATGGAGAGTGTCGGTTCCTCTGCATGCCCCTCCTATCCAACTCCTGCTGACTCTGTAGTGATTCCTGCTGTGATCCCCAGTCTCCCCCATCCCCTGCAGCTCTGCCAGGTTCCCCCTTCACTCTCCTGCCAGCTGCTGCTAAGGATCTGTCAGGATGGAAAGCATGGAAGGGGCCGATAAAAGTGTCATTTACCAGCCCCTTCCTTATGAATAGAGTCAGTTATCTGTACCGATCTCTGAATCTGTTCATAACTGAGGCATAGTAAATTGTGTTTACTACGCTTCAGTTTATGAACGGGAAGCTCTGTACAAAATTGTTCTTCTCCATTCAATCTGTACAGGCTGTGGAGATGGAGACTGCGTCCTTTAACTCTGTCTCAAAGGTGAAACATCCATAAATTGTAAATAAACAAATTAAATAAATGGTAACAAACAAAAAAAAAAAAAAAAAAAAAAAAAAAAAGAAAGAAAAAAAAAATACTGATGCCAGTGGTGGAACTACCAGGGTTGCAAAGGTCGCACTTGCGACCTGGCCCTGGCATTCCGCCATTGTGGAGGGGGGGGGGTCCTGGCTGGAGATCAGGTGGGCCCTTTATGGTTTCTTGCACCAGGGCCCTGAATATTCTAGGTATGCCTCTGCTTAACACTATTATGTATAATGTTGTGATGTTTGAATAAATACCTGAGAATCTAAATCTTCCCCTTTCATACAGAAGTTAGCATCAATCACATTGAGTCCAACCAAAAGGCCTGAAATGATGGCACCTTCTTCTTCCATCATTAGAGCATTTGGCTCATAGAATTCACTAAAAAAAAAAAACAAGAGAGTGCTCATTACAAATTAATCATTTATATATGTTTACAATGTTTTAAAGTCATACTGAGAAATCTAGATTACAAAAAAAAAAAAAATAAAATATGGTGATTTTGTAGCTACATATTTCATCCTGTTAAGACATGAGAAGCAGGCTGTACCCCAGAGCCAGTCAGTCCAATCCAGAATAACAGATTTTATATGAATTGCTATATTTGTAGTAATTCCATGGTTTTCCACTTACATTACAGGATTATTGCATAGAATTTCAGTGTATAACGTGTGTTCCATTACAGACAAACATCAGGCAGATACAGCATTTAAAACACAGTGATGTATTATTAATATAATGAAATGTGTTTTAAAAGTATAACAAGCAGAAGTATCCAAATATGCCTTGCTATTATTAGTTGGACATCGATAGTAAAGCAGATTATCTCCCTCTTAGACTGAAAGAACAAGGTCAGCACTGTCTGTTTGTCAAGCTCTTTTGCTTTGCACAGCGATTATGTGCACATGCGCTCAGGACATGACAGCACAGGGATGGCCTCAATGTCTTGCTCCTTCCTTGTCCAGTCACAGGTTGGGGTTGGTCCTGAGCCAGGCCAAATTGTTTAACTGAGGAATGGTCTGAAGAAAGGCCTAGGATGTGGTTGTGAGGCGTGGCAGGCGAGCCTAGGTCGCTATACTGGCTTAGCAGATTTCTTGACAGTTTATTTAGTGTTGCATAGTCTTGGAATCTTATCAAATTTTTGTAGAAGAAAGGGAATATGAATTCTATATTGGATAATACCCTCCTGTCCAAACCCCTAAAAAAGAAAAATTGGCCATGATTTCTTAAAAAAACTCAATCCGGGGAATTAAAGGCATTCTAAACCCTGATATTACTGCAACAACTAAATGACGGGACATACCACCAGCTATTAACCTGAACTGAAACCGCTTTAGTAATAAATGGAATTATTACCTTTTCAGCCCCTTTCTATTTGGGTCACTTGACTTTTTTTTTTTTTACGTTTCCTACCGAAGCATGGACCACGTTGGGGGTGGGATAATGTGATGTCACCTTAGCTTTTTCAGGCCCTCCTCAAAGGCCATGAAAAATGCAGTGGAACTCAGTCAAGGATCTGATCTGCACCCACCAATGCCTTCAGGCAGATCAGACCTTTGACGGACAGCTCCAATCCACTTTGCACAGCCTGGAGGAGGGACTGAAAAAGCTAAGGAAACATCACAGAGCATGTGACCTGCTCTAGCTTAGCCTTACCCCCAGCCTGGATCGTAGTGCTATACACTACAAAGAGGTGGTCCCTTATCTCCTCTTCTGGAGTCTCCCACCGGCGTTGTCCACTTTTCTTCGGGGACCCCCCCAGTCAGCTGTGTGCTGAGGGGGCACCTATGTAGATGCGCTCCCAAGCTGGGCTGTGTGTGTCCATAGGCACACACATGCCAGTAAGCCATGCTTCCACTCCCTCCTCTCAAGAGCCCATGGCTCTCGCTGCTGTCTGTGTCTCCTGTGAAAGCAGGAAGTGGAGAGGAGCCAGGTAACTGTTTAGAAGCTGTGGGGGACAAGTAAGATCAGTTTTTACCTTAATGCATATAATGACATGAGAAAAGCAGAATTAAAAGACGTGCCTGAAGGCGTTGTTTTTTTTTTAGACGTGTTTAGGTAGTTTAGACGAGTTCAGGAGTGTCAAGCGTGTGAGCGTTTACTAATTTCACTGGCCAGAATATTAATTTATTCTGGACATAAAAATGAATAGACACTCAAGTGCCAGAAGCATATAGAGTTTAGGTGCATTTATACGCTTTTAGGTGTGTTAGTCATTTTTTTTTTCTGCTTAAACATCCCTCTCCTGAATGTAATTTTGATGCTTTTGGATTTCTGCCCCAAACTCCACTAAATGGCTCTGTGTGCATGGACACATAGGCTGGCATAGAGGGGCATTTAGGGGCATTGAAAGAAAAAAAAAAACCTGTCAAACGCCTGTAAAACGGGCATTTGACAGCTGCAGTGTTCATGAGTCCTAAGAAAGAAAATAAAAGAATTTAAATAACTACTATGAGGAACATTGACTTTTCCTTACCGTGGATCTTAAAGATCAATGTGAAGCAGCAGCTACTGCTACAAATATAGAAATGATGCAGATACTATCACTAATAAAAAGTGTGGCAGTGCTCTTTTTGGTCTAGAATATTTATACTCTTCCAATCCCAAAGGATGCAAAATTGGCCTTACTTCACTGCCAGATTGTGGGACTGTATGTTCATCAACAGAAGCTAGCCACCTATGTTTTTATTGCCCCTAAATGGGTCATTGCCAAAGCCTGGAGATCGCCCTCTGTCCCTTTCTGAAAGGTCAAACTCACCCTGACCACCTTGATGTTACAGGAAAAGATGGCTAGTATTGCTGGTGATTCACATGAGTCCTTGGTGGACTTATGAGCTCCCTACCCTATCCTTGTTGGGCCTAGGGACCCTCTAAATCCCAGCTGTGACCCAGGCCTGCAGGAGGTTACCTGTTTCTTTTTCTACTTTGTTCCTGGTTTTGCTGCTTTTTTCTCCATTTCTTTTCTTTGGTTTATTCCTCTGTCCTCTCTCTTTGGTTAAATGAAATGCTAGTGAATTGTCGTTATTGCCTACGGTTTGCCCTCCCGGGCTTGTCCCTGGGTCATGGAAGCCGCACTGTGGCCTTGGTCACAGGTCGGCATTATTCCGATCTTACTGCTCTGAAAATGTTGTGAGCACCGCCTGTTACTTTATCTGTGTACGGATTGATCTGTACCCCTGCGCGAGCGATCGGTTGTTTTGTATTGAACTTTTGAAAAAGAAAAAACGTGGCAGTGCTCTGTGGAGTGCAGGGAGAGGATCATATATGCTTTAAAAGAAGCTTGTATCTTATAGAACATGGGTGAAAGCAGAACACAGCTGTCACATTAGTCACATGAACTTCCATTACTTGTTCAGGAAACACTCCACATAATTAGTGGTCAATAAGGGAACATTTATTGCTTTGTCTGGCCAATTTTAGATTCTGCTCTGTACAGCATTGTGCACCTGCTTCCATGACTCAAAGCAATTTTTCCTGCATTATGATTTTTTTTAAAGAAAAAAAGAACGCTGTATGAAAAGAGAAATTCGGGTTTAGAAAAAAAAAAAAAAAAAACCTACATATTCACCTGGGTGGATTCAGCATCGATATGATGCTACATCTGTCCCCCGCTGCCTCCAAGACTGAGAACTAAGCGATCAAAGACCACAGATCGCTCAGTTCTCAGTCTTCAGTGAGCAGAAAGCCAGTGAATGTCAGTCACCGGGTCTCTGCTCTGCCCCTCCAGTGCTCACTAGAGCACCAGACTGTGGAGGGGTGTGGGAGCAGTTGGCTCAGGCTCTCAGCAGTGCGTTGATAGGCTGAGCCAGCTGCCGAATCTGTGTGGATCTCAACATTAAAGTCGGGATCCCTGCAGAGTCTGGGCTGGCTCAGTGACGTCATGGGTGACAGGAATGCAGAATCAAGTATACTTATGTGACCTACAGGAGATGTAGGTTTAAAGCTTTTTTTTCTCCATTAAAAACTATTAGTAGTATTGCCAATGCGCAGTGTAGTATCAGAGAAAGTTAGTGTTGAGCATCTAATTCTACATGTCCAAATGCAAAACACTCAAAAATCTCCACTCTCTTGGCCTCCGAGACTCTGCTCTCTCCTGGTTCTGCTCCTACCTATCGCAGCGCTCCGTAAGCATTACCTATAACTCTGGCTCCTCCTCTCCCTCTTTCTGTAGGGGTCCCTCAAGGTTCTGTCTTTGAACCCCCTTCTCTTCTCCATCTACACCTCCTCCCTTGGTCACTTGATAAACTCCCATGGCTTTAAGTACCACCTCTATGCTAATGACACACATCTATCTTTCTACTCCTCACCTCACCCCTTCAGTCTCCTCTCGCATTACTAACCTACTAAGTGACATATCAGAATGGATATCATTCCACTTCCTCAAACTAAATATTTCTAAAACGGAGCTCACACTATTCCCTCCAGCCTGTGCCCCCTCCCCTGACTTACCCATCAAGATCAATATTACAACCATCAGTCCCTCCCTTCTTGCCAGGGTGCTAGGTGTAATCCTAGACTCCTATCTGTCCTTTCACCCCCAAATCCAATTGCTGTCCAAATCTTGTAGACTTCACCTCCGCAACATCTCCAAGATACGCTTGTTTTTAACCTCTGAAACTACTAAGCAACCTATTCACTCCCTTGTTATCTCTCGCCTTGACTATTGTAACTCCCTCCTCATTGGCCTACCTCATCGCAGGCTTTCCTCTCTTCAGTCTATCATGAATGCTGCTGCCAGACTCATCCACCTTACTAACCGTTCCATATCTGCCATCGCTCTCTGCCAATCCCTCCACTGGCTTCCCATTGCCCAACGGATCAAAATTCAAACCATTAACAATAACATATAAAGCCATTTATAACTCTGCCCAAAATTACATCACCAATCTTGCCTCTAAATATCACCCAAACCGTCCTCTCTGCTCCTCCCACGACCTTCTGCTCTCCAGCTCCCTCGTCTCCTCCTCCCATGCTTTTCTCCAGGACTTCTCCAGAGCCTCCCCGTCCTCTGGAACTCTCTACCCCAATCTATCCTACTATCACCTACTCTGCACACATTTAGGCAATCTCTGAAAACCTCTCTCTTCAGGAAAGTCTATCCTGCCTTCAGCTGATAACCGAATCTTCTATTTCTCCCATCAGATCATCCCCCACAGCTATTACCTTTTGTACCACCAGCCCCTCCCTCTTAGATTGTAATCTCCAAGTTCCCTCCTAACCCTCTTGTATTGAACTGTATTGTTGCTGTATTGTCTCCCTTCATAATGTAAAGTGCTGAGCAAACTGTTGGCGCTATATAAATCCTGTATAATAATAATAATAATTTAGATTGTTGTACATGACAACTAGTTGTTGGTATTTGGTGATCAAATAGTGGTTAG